TGCAGGAGAAGGAAATTAAAGGGACACAAATAGGAAAAGAAGAACTCAAATTAGCTCTCTCTGCTGACAGACCTGATCCTATATTTAGAAGACCCTAAAAACTCCAATAGAAGGCTTCTAGAGCTGACAAATGAATTCAGCAAAGTGGCAGGATACAAGATCAACACTCATAAATCAATTGTATTCCTATACTCCAATAATGAATCTGCTGAAAAAAGAATTAGAACACTATCCCATTCATAACAACCTCAAAAAAGAAAATAAAATACATGGAAATCAATCTAAAAACGGAATTGAAGGATCTCTACAATAAAAACTATAGAACACTAAAGAAAAATTGAAGATGACCTTGGAAGATAGAAAGACCTCCCTTATTGCTGGATAGGCACAATTAATATTGTCAAGCTGGCCATACCACCAAAAGTTCTATACAGATTCAACACAATCCCCATCAAAACACCAATGATATTCTTTACAGAACTAGAAAAAGTAACGCTACATTCATGTGGGAAAATAAGAGACCCAGAATAGCCTAAGCAATTCTTAGCAAGAAGAGTGAAGATGGAAGCATCACAATGCTGTGCCTCCAAGTGTACTACAGAACTAGAGTACCAAAGTGCATCTTACCGGCCCCAAAACAGATACGAAGACCAATGGAATATAATAGAAGTCACAGAGATAAGCCACATAGATACACTTATCTTATACTAGACAAAGGTGACAAAAACACACATTGGAATAAGATAGACTTTTGAACAAATGGTGCTGAGAAAACTGGAAATCCATAACGGAGGAATGAAATATGATCCCTATCTGCACAAAAGTCAACTCCACGTGGATCAAAGACCTGAGAATAAGACCAGAAACTCTCCAAGTGCTAGAAGATGCAGAGCCAACACTCCAGCATGTCAACACAGGAACCAACTTCCTTAACAGGACGTCTAAAGCACAAGAAATAAAATTATAAATAAATAAATAAATGGGATGGCATCAAATCAAAAACCTTCACAGCAAAGGCATGAAGAGAGCCTATAGAAGGGCAAAAGACCTTTCTCACCTGCTCCTCAGTTAGGGCATTAATATTCAGAGATACAAAGAACTCAAAAAACTTAACACCAAAAAAACCTAATCAATAAACGGGAAAAAGAACTAAACAGACCCTCCTCCATACAGCCAGGCATGGTGACGCATGCTTGTAATCCCAGTGTCTCCAGAGGCTGAGGCAGGAGGATCATGAGTTCAAAGCCAGCCGCAGCAAAAGCGAGGCACTAAGCAACTCAGTGAGACCCCGTCTCTACATAAACAGGAGTAGGGATGTGACTTGGTGGTCAAGTGCCCCCAAGATCAACCCTCGGTACCAAAAAAAAAAAAAAAAAAAGAAAGAAAATATAAATGGTTAAATATTTTTAAAAATGTTCAACATCTCTAGCAATTAGAGAAATGCAAATCAAAACGACATTGAGATTTCATTTCACTCCAGTCAGAATGGCAATTATCAAGAGTATAAATAATGATAAGCGTTCATGAGGACGTGGGGGAAAAGGTACACTCATACATTGTTGGTGAGACTGCAAATTATGACCACCACTCTGAAAAGCAGTATGGAGATTGCTCAAAAAACTAGGGCGGGGCCGAGGTTGTAGCTCAGTGGCAGATTGCTCAACTTGCATGTGGAAGGCACCTGGTTCAATCCTCAGCACCACATAAAAAATTTTAAAAAGGTATTATATCCATATACAACTAAAAAAAAAAAAAAACTAGGAATGGAACCACCATATAACCCAGCTGTCCCAGTAAATATCCAAAGAATTTTAAATCAGCATAGTATAGTGATGAAGGCACATCAATGTTTATAGCAGTACAATTCACAAGAGCCAAAGTATGGAAACAACCTAGGTGCCCTTCAACAGACGAATGGATAAAGAAAATGTGGTGTGTGTACACAATGGAGTATTACTCAGCCATAAATAAGAATGACATTACGGCATTTGCCAGTAAATGGATGAATCTGGAGATTATCATGTTAAGTGAAATAAGCCAGTCCCACAAAATGGAAGGATGAATGTTTTCTCTGATATGTGGAAACCGATCCAAAATAAAGTGGAGGGGGAGGGGGGAAAGAAAGAAAAAAATGGGACAGGGAATTTCATCAAAATAGAGGAAAGACCTTAGAGTAGATGAAGGAGATTGAAGAGGAAGGAAGGAAGGAAGGAAGGAAGGAAGGACAGGAAAAGAAGAGAATGGTGGAATGATCTCATTGAACTTTCAAATGTACACACAGGAATATAGCACAGAGAATCCCAGTATCAAGGATATCCACCAGAGACTAATGTAAAAACAAAAACACTACAAATAAATTGTAGAAAGATCAGTAGAGGAGACGGAGAGGAGCAGGAAGAGGAAGGAAGTGCTGGGGACTGAATTAGACCAAATCGTATCCCATGCTTTTGTGATAGGTCAAAATGTAGCCTAATGATTTATATAACTAAAATAAATAAATAAAAATAAAAGTGTTTTTAAAATATGCATTGTAGATTGAAAACAGTAAAGACTAGAAATAACATAAATGTCTATTAAGAAAGACTAGCTAGCTAATTTGAGTCTACATTGCATATGTGGTTTTAAAAAACCACAGATCTTGAGATAATTTTACATATGGACCACAACAAAATAGTGGAAAAGTTGTAGAAAAGGACATAAACTAGGTCTTATTACAAACTTTTAATCATCTACATATACATGCACACAGTTTAAAACACAATTTATGTGAATGTGTGCTAGGGCTTAACCAAGAGCTTCACACATGTTAAGTATATGCTCTACCACTGACATTCATATAACTTTTTAGGTCAATAATCTCTGGTAAATAGAACGGATTTTTTATTTTAGAAACCCTTCTATTTTATTTGGGGAAAAAATGAACACATACAGCATTCAAAGTAAAAAAAAATCCACATATTTTAACTTATTGCCCCCAAAATAGTTACTTAGAAAACAATTTATAATATGAATTCACTTTGAAATGAGTAACAATGGTTATGTCCAGAACAGAGTACAGAAAAAATCCACACTGTAGTTCACAAAACAAAAAAGTTCTTTTAAGAATACCATCTTTCTCTAAAATAGTGATCAACCTCCAGAACTATATTTGTCCACAATATCTTTCCTGGCAACTTTTCAAAACTCTGGAGAATCAGCTTTATTGTTGGATTGCCCAGTATACTAAATACAAGTTACAGATAAAATAATGCCAACAAATTCACAGAATTTATGAATACAACTTTTCTGCTAGATAAGTTTTAAATGTCTCCTTGATGAAGGGAATTCCTCTAATGAAGTTAACCTCAGATATTTTTTTACTTTGAATGCTGTATGTGCTCATTTTTTCCCCAAAGCATGACCAGGCATGATACTGGTCCCTCACAGTAAGTGTTCTGTTTTAAAATATCTTCTACATATCTACAGTCAACATCAATATGCCTGGGGCCTTTGTTTCAAGGCCAAAGCTAGAGGTGAGACAGGAATCTACATCATTTCACAAGCAAGAACAGGAAGAAAACTCTGAAAACAGCCCAAGGAAGCCCTGGGTTCTGTCTCCAGGAATCTGAACTTGACACAGGGTATCTTGGTCCCCTACAGGCCTAGCTCCAAATGTGGAGCTTACAAATGTTCTGACGTAAGGGGTCAAGGCCTTCTCTAAGCCTCTGATTAAAAAAGAAGCAGAGCTCTCGGTCCTCATGTTACTCCAAATGTTTTCCATCTCAGCCCTGATCCGAGATTCCACCACCTTTGTTTTCCCTCTAGACCTACTGCTGCATGTAACAGCTTATAGCTACAGAAGGGAAGTGCTTAACAAGTACCTAGTCTTTGGACAATAATCTGATGATGCATTTCTATGTGACAGATGAAGAAACTGAGCTATGAGGTACAGGACTACTTAGTGGCCAACTAGTATTTAAACCTGGAGATTCTCATTCCTGAGTATAATCTTTCCTGTGCAGCACTCACCATCTCTTATGATGTATTTCTTCTAACCCAGAAGACATTAGCAAGCTTCAGACAATAGTGCTCTGAGCTTTTAGAATCAATCTCAAGGCCAACAGGCCACCTGTATAAAATGTTTATTTTTGGTACTGCCATTGGTTCTTGCCATTATTGGATAACTGACACTATGGAATCTAATTCACAAGTGTTATTTGTTGATGCCTTTCTTAAGTTTTCAAAAGCTGTTATAGCAATAATTAGACACTCCACCTCTTAACCAAGCAAAAAGACACTGGTTCAGATTCTCATTCTATCACTTAGTGTTTTCCTTCATCAGCAAAGTAAGATATAAAGGTAGAGTCGGGTGTCAAGTAATGTAATATTAAAAGACCATGTTGTTTATGAAACTGAAAAAGTAGAAGTTCTATAAGATGGAAACAATAAAAACTAACTGGCAAAAAATATACATCTAATCTTTCGAAATTATCACAAAGAAATCAATTACTACACACGAGAATGAATGCTACCAATAAAATTCATTCATTCCATCCTCACTTCCACTGAGGTGCAATAACTTAACAGATTAATAAATGATTATATAAGAAATGTCTTAATCTGTTGCTGGGTAAGCTCCAGCACCTTCCCAGTGAATTAGAAATGCACCGTGGACATTGACAATGACTTTCCCTGTGCATGTTCTGCTCGGCTGCAGATGTGTTCCCGCTGCTGTAAGAGGTCTATCAGTTAACTAACTGTACAGGTACACTCACTGGGCTACAGGTAGAGGACCCACAACCTATCAAGTCATTCAGTCTTCATAAGGACTCATATGTATGTTCATTTTTCAGATAAGGAAACTGAGGCCCAAGGGAGGATGAGAAAACTGAGGCCCTGGGATGCAGTGCGAGGAATCAGGCAGCATGAGGCTGCAACCGCTCAGGGTGCCATGGAGTCCCTTTAACCTCTCTCCGGGGAGGGGCACGGGAGCGCGTGAATGGCGAGAAGCAATACAGTACCAGCGGGAAGCAGGGGCTCCAGCGGGGTAAAGACATGCTCCATAGCGGAATACTGGCCTCTGCATTAAAACACAAAAGTGCAGGTTAGAATCCCCCAGGCTTCTAGGGGAGCGCAGCGCCACCGCCCACCCGGCGAGCTGCGGTCTGACCCGCGCAGCGCTGGGGCTGCGCATCGCGGGAGCGCGCGGGCAGGGCGGGGACAGGGCAGGGATGAGGGGAGACGGCAAAGCGGGCGCGCTCTGTGCTCTTCGGGGACTGCCCCTCCCGCCTCCATCCGGGAACCCGGCATCACCCACCGGCCGCCCCCTCCCCACTGCTCCCCCTCCTCCCGCGGCTGCCTCACCTACACAATGGCGGGAGGAGCCCAAGCCTCGGAGCGCTGCTCCTATCGACCGCTCGGCGCGCGGCTGAAGCGCCTGGCGTGCAGCCTCCTTCCGGGAGCGCCGAGCCTCCCGCGCGGCTTCGCGCTAGACCCGCTCCGTGCTTCTGCGCTGCTCTCTACGCCCCACCTCGGCTCAGGGGCTGTCCTGCTGGACGCGAAGCAAGGTATTCCTCGCTCACCAGCAAAGCAGCTCCCCCGCCTCCTCCGCGGCCGCGCTCGCTTTGATCTCCCGCGGGCTTCGGCCCCTGCCCTCCGGCCCCGCGCCCCCCCTTCCCGGCGCGTCCTGGAAGAAACCACCTGCCGCGCGCCGCTCCTTCTCCCCAGAAGAAGGGGCCCCGGCCGTGCAGCCCTTTCCAGCGCCGGGCAAGGCTCACCTCCGACGAGCCAGCGCCTGCACTCGCACCAGAGCCCGCACCGCCACCCCTCCCGGCGGCGGAGGCCCGGCCTGCACCGGAGGCGGCTGGGCCTGGGCAGTAACGGCGGAAGCGCGCGGGTCTTACAGGTGCTGGGCGTCTCCGCCAGAGTGAAGACCCAAAGAAGGGACCCCAAACCCAACTTTTATACACTAGTATTCTCTCTTAAAACTCTTCAGAAGGACCTATTTAAAGGTGCCAGTCGTGTAGAGATGCGCACGTGTAACACAATTGGGTGCTGTAGCTGCAACACCTGCGAGAACCACAAATCATCAGGGCACGGAAAAGCGGGAGATGGTGACCCAGACTGTAGGCAGGCAATCATAGAAGATATTCTTATGGAAAAAAAAAAAAACACAGATAAGGAACCTTAAAGAATAAATTTATCTGCCAAATTGCAAACGATTCCTTAACAACAAAAATTTAAGTTTATGGAGCAATTATTATGTTCCAGTTACCGTTGAGAGGTTTTATGCTTAATTACTCTAAAATGTAGGCGCGAAGAAAACAAGGACCAAAATTTTTTTACCCTTACATATTCACACTGTAACAGCTGGTGGTATAGAGCAAGCAATCAATGAGTATTGAATGTTCATATTGAAATTGTTTACAATAATATGGGATGCTACTTCTCTGGTTTTTCTTAAAACCGTCTATTCATCAAGCCTCAGCACAAACCAGTCCCCCCCCACATCTCATCTTGGATTGATTGGCCACATAGCTATAATCACAATCCCAGTTACCTTACTTCACTTAGCACTCCTATTAGATTGCTAGCTTCCTAAGGGCAGGACCCCTGTCTGGTTGGAGGAATAGCATGAACAAAACCAAACAATGCGCTTCTTCCAAAATACAGGTTCATTAAATAATTATGATCTCCACTAATACGTGGTGGGAGGAAACATAAAATTATGGCATATTATACAAGGAATTATTGAAAAAAATAATCATATGCCCTTGTGGAAAAATGTCAACAACAGAATAAATAGTATAAATGCAAGCAGAAAAATCTCACTTGTATTTTTAAATGTTTTAATGTCCTAAGGAATTGGTAAAGGTAACCTAAGCAGAAGGGATGGAGTAGGTAGAAGGCAATATGTTGAGGGAAATATCACTTGCTATCTCATACTTACATATCTTATTAGTACATATTTTAAATATATTTTTTGTTTCACAAGAATTACACATTTATGGGGTATTACAGTATGATGATTCATGTATACAACGTGTAGTGCTCAGGTCAGGGTAATTGGTATGTCTGTCACTTCAGGCATAACATTTCTTTGTATTTGGAAGATGCAGTCCTCCCTACTAACTCCTTTGAAATATTCAATTAGTATTATCAACCATAGTTATCCTACACTAACAGAATTAGAAGTTACACCTCCATCTGCACCTCAGAACCCACACCTGATTCTCTGCATCCCTCCCTCCCCCAAACCTTTCCCAGGTTCTGCTAATCACTGTTCTATCCTCTACTTCTTAAGAGTTCAACTTTTTGAATTTTCACGTAAGAACATGGTATTTGTCTTCCATGCCTGACTTATTTTACTTAACAGTGCCTCATTCCATCCATGTTGCTGCAAATCACAGAATTTTTTTTCATTATTTTTACAGCTGATAATGGTGCACTGAGTATAGAGAACACATTTTCTTTATCCATTCACTCATCCATAGACACTAGATTGATGCTGTAGCTTGGCTGTTGTAAATGTGAAAGTGCAAATGTCTCTTCAACATTTATCCCCAACAGTGGCATTACTGGATCACATGCTCATTCTATTGTTAGTTTTCTGAGGCACCTCCATCCTGTTTTCCATAATGATCACACTAATTTACATTCCTACAGTGTATGAGGGTTCTCCTTTCTCCGCTTCCTGGCCAAGGTTTGTCTTTTATTTATTTATTTTGTGTCTTTTTGATATTATTTTGAAGATTAGGGATGTTGAGCATTTCCTATACTTGTTGGCCATTGGTATATCCTCTTTCCAGCAGTGTCTGTTCAGGTCATACACCATTATTAAATTGGATTATTTGGTATTTTCTGTTGAGTTGTTTAAGTTCCTTATATATTCTTTATATATTGTTGGATAAATAGTTTGCACATAATTTTCTCCCGTTCTGTAGATTGACTTTTCTGATAGTTTCCTTTGCTGCACAGAAGTTTTTTACTTTAATGTAATTTCATTTGTCTAATTTTACTTGTTGCCTAGGCTTTAGGGTTCATATTCGAAAAAATCTTAACTAGACCAAAGTCCTAGTGTTTCCCCTATATTTTCTTCTAGTCATTTAATAATTTCAGGTCATACATTTAAGTCTGATCCATTTAAAGTTGATTTTTATATACAGTACGAATTAGGGTCTAGTTTCTTTCCTCTGCAGATGAATATTCAATTTTCCCAGAACCATTTATAAAAGAGATTGTCCTTGGATGTTCTTGCTGCCTTTATTAAAAATCAGTTGGCTGTAAATACAAGGAATTGAATTCATCCCATTGGTCTGTGTGTCTGTTTTTATCTGCTATTTTAGTTACTATCACTTTGTAGTATGTTTTGAAATCAGAGATTCTAATGACACAGCTTTGTTCGTTTTTCTCAGATTGCTTGGACAGGTCTTTTGTGGTTCCATATAACTTTTTTTCTATTTCTCTGAAAATTTCCATTGGTATCTTGACAGGAGTTGCATTAGTATGTAGATCACTTTGGGTACTGTGGACAATTCTTCCAACCATGAGTATGGGATGCTCCAACCATTGTCTTTGCCTCAAAACACATACCTATTCTGATCTCAGTCAAAGCCAAGCAGCATTTCAGCCACCTTTAATGTATTTCCACTTGCATATTTCCCTACTGCCTCTGAATCAAGGGACTAAAACTGAAATCACTCATTTCTTCCTCTTCCCAGTGTCTTCACTTCTCTCCTTAGCCTCCTTGTTCCTTTGTACTGCTTGATATTTTTAATTTGCCTTTTTTTTTTTACTCGTTCACAAACTCAGTTTCTGCTTCTTATTCTGTTTGTCACTCCAACCTGTCAAGAAGAAATTCTATCATTTTGTCATTTTCTTTCTATCTCATACTTACATATCTTATTAGTACATATTTTAAATTCTCATTCTTTTAAGATCTAAACTATCATCTCTGAAAAGTTTCCTGAGATTCACTCAAGCCCCTTATAATTAATCTTGTCCTTCTCTGTGATCTTGCTATACTCTTATGCTCCTTTTCATATTCCTTGCTATATTCTAACAGTATTCATTTTAAATGTATGCTACCTTTTGGTCAAAGAATGTATCCCAAGTTCCAGCTTTTACGTGTACATTTCGAGCATCAAGAAAGAAGGTGATGATAAAAAGAAAGGGAAAAAAAGGTGCCTTATAAAAAGTCTATTGCATAAGTGAAACACTCTAGGTCCTAAGGTCATACACCGTCTCTCCACAACATGGTTTTGCCTTCTACCTTTATAGGGAAAAGTAGACAGGCTCAGGGGAGATGATTTACAGTTGGGTGGTTTTGCAGTTAGGGGAAGACACAGTTGACTGAACAGGAAATATTTATGTCTGTATTTAGCTATTTTTAGGAACGTGGATGGATTAACACACACAGGGGTGAACGCATTGCTCCTCCAACACAGTCTTCCAGGGACACAGCTGAGGTTCAATACTGAAAGAGGGTTTATCAAAATACTTTTGCTAAATCAGATAGTATAGGACTTAATCACCTCTCTCTACTAGCTTCAAGGGAGGCTGTAAAATGTAACCTTTTAGAAGTGATATGGCCAGGTAGAAACGGACACTGATACTAAAGAGAATAGTAATTGAGAGCAAACTAGCCAGCTAGCACTTGCCATGCCCAGGTGGCCACATTAATTGCTGACAGTTGCCCTCCTCTACCCTTGCTCCTTCTAATCTAGTCTTCACATGGTGGCCAAAGTTCTCTTTTTAAATTAGGAAACAAATCATGTTTCTGCTTGTTTAAAACTCATCTGCTGATTCTGGAATAAAATGCATAGTGAAAAGGCCCTAAATCAGCTGCTTTTGTCAATCCTGTTCATTTTACACCATTCTTCTCCATACATAGGAATATAAGTCAAACCTGCTTTTTTGTACTTTTGAACCAAACAAGCCCTTTCTACTTTTCTTCTCTCCAAGAACATCTTCCATCCCTAGTTCTTCATGTACTCGACTCATTTTGAGCTCAAATATTGCCTCTTCAAAGAAACCTTCCTTGATTTTCCTATCTAAACTAGCTTCCTTAGTTACTCTCCATCTTAGCATTCTGGTTTTCTTCTTCATACTCTTTTATCTTGGAAGACTTGTTTATTGACTGTCCTCTCTATAACAAATAAGGGATTTTGCCTGATCTCTTCATTTCTGTCTTCTTAGTGCCAAACACTCCGTATATGGTGCAGAGTAATATTTTCTTTCTCTATATTTTTATAAAGGATTATGTGTGAGTGTGTGTGATTTATTAACCATTCAAACATTTATAGCATAAACATAATAGAAATGGGCTGAATAATAATTTACCCTATGGATAATACAAGGTTCACAAAAGAGTTTAGAAACACTTGGCAATCACCACT